GCGAGCTGAATGTTATGGGTTTAATTGTGCACAGTGTTAATTCATAATTGAATTCATTATGGGTACAGGATGCCAGATCACCCACAATTCCCCAGTTAATCAGTGAAGAGGACAAGTTCAGTCCTTATGGGACACAGACATGCACTCATGCCATCGTAGACACACAGTACAGTGGCAAGCAGATGCCATGGCGAAGCAGTAATTAATGACTAATCATAAATGCTTTTGTATAACTGGAGTGTGTGTGTGTGTGTGTGTGTGTTCTGTACAGGATGATGGATTGCAACATTATATGCCAACAGATCCACACAAAAAAGCAAACACACATGATGATCTTGAGTTGAACCACTTTCTCTGTGCCTCTAGGAATCCTTCTTCTCCAATGCAGTCTAAGAGCCTTCGAGATCACAGTTAGATGAATATTTAATCTAGATAGGAGAAAGGTTTCTCTGAGGGTGACCTCAGCTCTCTAACACTGTAAGTTGAACAAAACAATAATGGGATGTTGTGTATGTGTGTGCTCAGGGCAGGCACAATAAAGTGGATATTAACATCTCTCAGCTGTCAGAATCACATATGTACAGTTACACTTTACTAATAAAAGTAATTCATTTCTGTGTTAAAATCCCCTCTGCCTTACCATTTTGGTAAGGAAAACCAATCCTAAGGTCATTGAAGTGCTAATATGCTGCCGGAAATCATTTTCTTAATCAGTAAGAAAATATAAACATCATTAAAGGGATGACATCATATAAACATAATTTTAATTCTGTCATCATTTACTCACCCTCCACTTGTTCCACTGCTGAACACAAAAGATATTATGAGGAATGTTGGTAACCAAACAGTTGACGGTTGCCATTTATTTCCATACTTTTTTTTTCCATACTATGGAAGTCGATGGCTACCTTCAACTCTTTAGTTATCAACATTCTTCAGAATATCTTCTTTGGTGTTCAACAGCCGAAATAAATTCCTGCAGGTTTGGAACAACTTGAGGGTGAGTAAATGATGACAGAATTAAATTTTTGGGTGAACTATCCTTTTAAGCACTTATTTCCTTTCATTTATTTGCCGAAGCGACAAAAAATAAATACAGAAAATATTTGTAATAGTGTTAATTTTGGTTCACGAAAAAACACTTATGCCACCATGCTGTCAGTGTCACTTTAGTCTTACAGTCTGATCTCAAACAATGACTACTTTAGTACAAACAACCCTAGACATAAAAGTCTGTGTGAAGAGGGTGAAAGCGAGTGAGGATAGATGAGATATAAAAAAGGATGGAGTCGTCATATGCTACAGAAGGGGCGGTGAAGTTAACATTCATTTTAAGTGCAATACTCAGGAGTCGGTCAGAGGAACAGGGCGCTGGGTTGTGTTTGTAGTTTCCTTGTGTGGAAGGCAGCATTTCCACACCGTTGTGCTTTTAAAATGTGAAACGAGAGATAGCAGGAAGGAGAGGCACACAGCCAGGGATCAAGAGGTGTTTCAGAACGAAACGGGAAGGAAAATAGTTTAGGATTAGGAGGGAAATATTGGGGTTGTGAAGTTAGAAAGTTAGTATGTGAGAGGGATTTTAAGGGAAATGGACTGAGGTACTGGAAAGGAAATGAAATCTGGATTTATGGGGGAAGGGGGAAAGAGAGAGGGAGTGTTTTAGAATTATCTTTATAGAAAGAAGTTGCTAAGCAACCCCCTCCATCAGACTGTGTTTGGATGGATGGTGCATTTGGAGAAATAAAAAAAAGAAAAAGAGGCCATGTTAACTGGGGGAAAGAGGGAGGAAATAGGAAGAGAGGAGCAGAGGAAGTGAAATTGTGGAACACAGTGTGAGACATTATCATTCAGGAAGATTTTTTTTTTCTGAAGTGAGTGAGCGGTGGGTGGATATGGGGATGAGGTGCACATCAGCTTGATCTCTATGGATGTACGCGCGCACACACTCTCTCACACACACATTTAATTCAGTCCCTTTCTGCATCATATTCCCAGACATTAGTCCCACCAGTGTGCAGTGCTATTTTTAACTGACCTAGCTAACACAAATATATAAAGGACCAACTCCCTTCAACTGTTGGAGTATGTTCTTTGGTCGTGTTACTGAAGTGCTCCTAATTATTCAGTCAGGTGTTTAACATACTGTCATAATTATGGTTTTTGAAAAGGTAGATATTTAAATGTTGCACAGCGCTGTAGCACTTTCGGTAAAGGTTGTTTATTAACACATTTCTAATAAATTCTTAATTTAAAGAGTGTAATGCATTGTGTGATGACATATAATGTAACGCTTACAATGTGGTAGTGATGATGTAGTCTTTAAAGGTATATAATAATTTATTAAAAACAACTTTAAAATGCATTGTATATAGAGTGAAATCAGGATAATTGCATCACATTTTTACAAATCATCTAGAGCAGCATTAAAATTTTCCATAATGATTCGTTTTCAGAAGTGCTCTTTTTGTGTTTGTATCTCATCTGTCATTTAATGTTAAAAATGTACTGTGTTTTCAGGTAAAATGGTCCAGTGCAACAAAAACTGCAATGTAATCAACAATTATTATAGTGAAGGAACAATGGTTTAATTGCATTGCAATAAGGCATTGCAAGAAATAATTTGTATTTAAAAAAATATGTTTGCATTTAAGAGAAATTAAAATGCAGTTAAATTTTTGAGTGTTGTATTTAAATTATTTAACACGGTATAATAAAAAAAATGGAAATAACATTCAAATTCAACAGCATTTACTTAATGTACTTAGTTGCTTCAGACTCTTTTGACTTGTTTTTGACTGTTCTGTGTGAATGTGTGTGTGTATGATTGAGAGACAGGCATGCAAATCGCTCTGTCTTGCATATCCGTTCATAAGCAGTCTTGGCAGTTATAATCTTCTTCCCCATAAATTCCTTTTGTTCTCCACAGCACTCATGGTATTATTAAAACAATGAGAATGAGTGTATGTCAGTGGGTATACATAGAGAAGACCAGGATCAGTTCATACATTTTTTACATATTCCTCCATAACTCACAGACTACTTCAACTATACAAATCAAATATACATATACACATCACCTCTTGGTAATGGAAACATACACTACCATTTTTTGAAAGTAATGAATACATTTATTCAGCAAGGATGCATTAAATTGATTAAAAGTAAGAGTAAAGACATTTATAATCTTATAATCAAATAAATGCTGTTCTTTTGAACTTTCTATTCATCAAAAAATCCAGAAAAACTAAATGTGTCACAGTTTCCTCAAAAAAACTCTTTTCAGCACTGATAATAATAAATATAGCTGCAAGCAGCAATTAAGGGGCCAAGCACAACAGAGGTAAAATGAAGAGCTAAGGATCTGTCTTTAACCCTTTCGCACGTGAGTTTAAAATATTCTAGCTGAGCCCCCAGCGTGAGTTTTTTTTTAGGCGACCGTTATTTTAGAACGTATTGCCTTATTGTTTCCATGGCGACGCGTCATGCTTGTCAT